AAGCTTCTGCATGGCTAAGGAAAACATCAGCAAAATGAAAAGGGAAAGAACTGTATGGGAAAATTATTTGTCAGTGATACCTCGGACAAGGTATCTAAAATATATAAATCACTCACATGACTCCACACCAGGAAGACAAAGAATCCAACTAAAAATGGGCAAAGGACCTGAACAGACACTTCTCTAAGGAGGACATACACAGGGCCCAGAGACATATGAACGGATGGCTCAGCATCATTATCCATCAGAGAGATGCAAATTAAAACCACAATGAAATACCACTTGACACTGGTCAGAACGGCCATCATAAACAAATTGACAATAAGTGCTGGCGAGGTTGTGGAGAAAAGGAGACCCTAGTACACTGTTGGTGGGAATGCAGACTGGTGCATCCACTGTAGAAAACTGTATGGAATTTCCTTAAAAAACCAAAAATGGAGCTGTCTTTTGACCCAGGAGTTCCACTCTTGGGATTATACCCTAAGAATCCTGAAACACCAATTCAAAAGAACCTAAGCACCCCAATGTTCATAGCATTATTTACAATAGCCAAGTACTGAAAACAGCCTAAATGCCCATCAGTAAATAAGTGGATCAAAAAACTGTGGTACATTTATACAATGGAATACTGCACAGCAGAAAAGAAGGAACACCTACCCTTCACGATAGCTTGGATGAAACTGGAGAGTATTATGCTAAGTGAAATAAGCCAGGTGGTGAAAGACATAAACCATATGGTCTCACCTGTAAGTGGAACCTAATCAACAAGACAAACAAATGATCAAAATAGAACCAGAGACATGGAAATAAAAAACAAACAGTGACAGAGGAGAGGGGGAGGGTCAAATCAAGGAACTTCTATAAAGGACTCATGGACAAAGACAATGGGGGGTGGGGAGGATTGAATGTGGAAGGTGGGGGTGGGTAGGGCAGGGGAGAATAATGGGGGGAAAATGGAGACAACTGTAATTGAACAACGGTAAAAAAAAAACCCCAAAAGATATGAGCAATTTAATGCTAACAAACTTGAACATTTAAACAATATGGGCATATTCATGGAACAGCACAACTGACTACTTTTGTGAAAATCTGAATACTTTTTATCTATTGAGATCTTAAAAGTAGATATTAATGCCCTTTGAATTCATAATGGAAAGTCTCCCGCATTCTCAAAGGGAAAAAGCCTACAGACTTCTTCCTATAGGAAGAAATAATACTCTTTCAGGGAATAGAAAAAGAGGGACTACTTTCCAGTTTATTTTTTCAAACTGTAAGAGAAAGTTTATTTAGAAAGTCGCAGAGGTGGAAGTGAGTTGTAGAACTGCGCTCGGGAAACAAGGTACAAAGTCAAAAAAGAAGGAGCCCTTGGAGCTTTAGAGAAGGATATGGGTAACAGACCTGAGAGTAAGCAGAGGGGGGTGGAAAAGACAAGGGTGTCCTCCTGAGAGGGAGAGTGGGCACCCTCTGTTTGATTCATAACCTTGATATCAAAACCTGAAAAGGATATTAAAGGAGGGAAAATTACCAATATCACTCATGAGCAAGTCTGTAAAAAATATTAGCAATCAAATATTGTAACTAGGACATTAGTAAACTTAATTTAGTAATATATAATAATAATACATTATAAATAAGCTGGGCTTATTCTAGGAATGTAAAGTTTGAACTCTTAAAAATCAATTTATATAATCACATTAATAGAAAAAGAAAAATCATAATATATGCAGAATAGAAATATACAATTTAACATTTATGATATGTATACAGCAAAAATCATATACTGAACACTGCAGGGTATTAAGGAAAAGATGGTCTTTTCAGTAAATAGTGCTGGGAAAAAATGAAACTGACTCATTTCATACTATGTACACAAATCTAAAATTGAGAATTTATTAAAGGAGAAACACTTTATAACCTGGGGTTGGTGAAGATTTCTTAAACAGGACACATAAAGCACTAACTCTAAAAGTAAAGATTGATAAATTGGACTATAATAAATTAAAATGAAAACACTGTTCATTAAGAGAATGCAAAGACAGATTGTAGAGAGGGAACGTATCAGCTGATGAAGAATTTTTATCCACAGTATATAAGGAATTCTTTTCTTAAAAAAGAGACAGACATGGAAAACACGCAAAACTTGACTAGGCATTTCCCAAAAGAGGACATCCAGGTGCCAAAAAAATATTTGGGTAAAATTATCCCACCTCATTAATAATGAGGGCAATGCAATGAAAATCACAGCCTACCAACACACATCCACAAAATCATTAAAATAAAAAAAAATGGTAGTACCATGTATTGGCAAGGTAAGAACTATTGGGAATACTTAACACTATTGGTGGGACTGTAAATTTGTACAACCACTTTGGAAAACTAGTGAGTCACTAAAGTTGAATATATACCCTTCAATACGTGGATGTCAGGAAGTTGAATAAGAGGGATCTAGTTCAGGATACACTAGAGAAATAGGGTAAGAGTCAAGAAAAATGAGTTCAGAAGCTGATCAGGTATTACTTCATTGCCTTTCAGCTCCAAACCCACCCTTTGCCCTGCTTTGTGATACTGGAAGTCTAGTCCATTTCTGTGTTGTCATCTGGCTCGGTAATAGGTTCTACCATTAGCAGGTGCTGGAGAGACATTGCAAGACTCGAAGAGGAAGAAGAAAGGACCTTTCTTCCTCTTCCAGTGTTTATTTATCCCTGTGGTGGCCATGCAGAGGTCCTAGTAGAGTTATCCTTGCCCTCTTCTCAGATATCTCAGTCTCAGCCTTGCAGCTTCCTCCCTCTGACTTGCTAAGTTCTTGTTTACATTTTTCTCAGCCATGGTAGGTAATGGCTAGTCTGCAGTTATTCTGCACATATTAGGGTTCTCAAGTAGTTGTCCACATTTTACCTAGTTAACAAGGGAAAATAGGAACTACTGGGTAACCAAGCAAAGAGGGAAGGAGGCTTCTCCTTTTAGAAGTATTCCAGATAATAAATGAAAAAGGGATGATAGAATTAGAATACAGTAGTCCCTTCTTATCTGCGGTGGATACAGTGGGTGCCTCAAACCACATATAGTACCAAACCCTATATATAGTATTTTTTCCTAGATATTCATACTTAGGATGAAGTTTAATTTATAAACTAGGCACAGTAAGGTTAATAGTAACTAATAATAGAACAATTATGACAATATACTATAATAAAGTTATGTGAATGTGGTCTCCCTCTCTCTTTCAAAATCTTACTGTACGGTACTGGCCTTCTTGAGATGTCGGATGATGAAATAGAGTGAGGTGACTGATGTAGCATTGTGACATAGTATTAAAATTGACCTTCTGGCAATGTCAGAGGAGGATCATCTGATTTGGGTGATCCTGAATTACTGAGCCATGATGATGTCAATGGTTGGATGTCAGGAGCTGAAGTGGATGGCTGGGGAAATTCAATATTGTCAGACCATGGTTGACCACCGTGGAAAGCAAAACCATGGATAAAGCGGAGACCACCATATGAGTATTTTGTAATCCCTTTGCTGATACTACAAAAGCAACTTAGTGGATAAATATGACACCACTTGGGAAGTAGTTTTGCTCCCTCTCCCCCCCCCCAAAAAAAGAGGAATAAATAAAAAAGAGAATCTGAATCTAATTAAGTTTCTGAAGATCTGACTACTAATTTTTGTAAAGCACAAAATACAGGAACATGTGAAACTATACTCTAGGGAAGCAATTAGCAAAATCCAGACTGTGGGAAACTAGTAGTACAAATAACCAAGTTTCATTAATAAATAAATGGTAAGAAAAAGTGGAAAGGGAACCTTTAGGTAAAAATAAATGTGAAATAAGACTTATCAATTCAAACTATAAAACATTTTTGACATGTGTGACTGTTGGGAAATTCGAGCCATTATTGGATGGAATTATTATTTGATGATACTTAGGAATTAAATATTTTTGTGATTATATTTTTTAAAGTTCTTATCTTGTAGAGATATATGGTAAAATAGTTATAGGTTCAAAATATTTATGGAAGTGGGTGCAGATGTAGATGAAACAAGATCGGGCATGAATGGTGCACTGTTGCAGTTCCACGATGAGCACTTGAAACCTTATTACATATTATGGCTGTCTTTGTATTGTTTAAACCTTTCCAATAAAAAGTTAAAATGGGGAAAAACAAAAAGGCCCATTTGATTAAAAATAATTTCAAAAGAGACAGAATAAGAAGAGGGAAAAATTGATCAGACCAGAGGAAGAAATGGGTAGGGCAATGTCAGGGGTGACCCCACAGCAGGGGAGGGCAATGTGAACCTTTGCAGGAGTGGAGGCGTGGCCTTGAGACAGGGGCACAGACAGGGGTAAACTGAAAGCGAGCAGACTCTCAAACTAAATTTCAGGATCCCTGAGGGACCTTACTTTGTGGCTCATAAATATTACAGACACTTATTTTTTTCTGGGAAGATGGAATATAAAAAGGGATTTTAAAAAATGGAACAAGGAAATAACCACTACTGAGCATTCAGTGTACATGAGGCACCATGCCAAGCTTAACTACTTTATCTCCATCTTCACCACAATAAGAATGAGGTAGGCATTATTATCCCATTTGTGAATAAGGAAATGGAGGCTTTAAGAGATTAAGTCACACAGCTAGTAAATAATGAAACTGGCAGTCAAATTTGGGTATTTCTGCCTCCAAAGCCATTTCCCTTCATTAGAGCATGCTGCTTTAAATGGAATCTGAAGTTCAGAATGGAAAACTTAATTATATTTTATGTAGAAGATATTTCAACTTCAAAATTACTCTCATGTGAAAACACTAAGAAAATTGATGTATTAACTTTGGGAAGTAATCAGAGAAGTGTATCCTCTTTTCTGACTACATTAAAATGACCTTTTTTGTGGTAATGAAGATTTAAAAATGAACAATGATAAATAGGCATATTTATAGACCTCATCAGGACTTTTAATTAATATTTTACATTAATTTCTCTGTATCTTTTCCTCCTAGATATTGAAATACTTCATGAGACGTTTCTTAACATTGAACCAAAAGATAACAGATTACAGAAAGTTAAAGTGATTCTGCTTCTCCCTCGTTGCTCAGGACTGGGTATTAGTAATCCAGTAGAATTTATTTTAAATGAGCATGGAGGTACTTGTTTTAGTTTTTAAATTCTAAATTATTGAAATGTATTGATAATAATTTAAAAATAAATTTATTTAAGGTAATTAAAATAACATATATCTGAGTAATGAATAGCTCCCATGTATAAAATAGTATGTATAATGTACTTTATATTTATTACCTCATTTAATCCTTGAGACAGTCCTGTCAGATGTGGGCAAGGCTGATATTCAAAATATTTAATAATTGGAATGATGTAGGCAATCAGGATAGATGCTGGCCAGTGTGCTATTCTGGCATATTCCAGAGCTCAAGTTACGGGCATTACAATTTATCAGCTTTTTATAGGTGAAAGAGCTGAGACTCAGAAAGATTAATTTGTTTTTATAAGGTTACACAGCTAGTTAGTAGCAGAGCTAGGGTTCAAATTTAGAGCTGTCTCATTCTAGAACTTATATTCTAAACATAATCCTAAATAAAACATAATAAAACTATTTCAAATTCAAGATTTCCTTAACATGTATGTTTTATCATATGAATACCTCAGATTAAATATTAACTCTAGGAATATTTTATTTGCTTCTTTAATAAATTTCAAAATATTATTTAACATTAACATTTATTGAGCACTTACATGTAAGGCACTGAGCTAAGCACTTTACTTGATTGTTTCATTAAATCTTCACAAGAACTCGAAAAAGTAGTTATTCTTATTGTCTCCATCTTACAAATACAGAATCTGAAGCTTAGGATTTGAAGTCCCCCAGAGTCATTTGACTGGTCCGTGTCAGAGCCTGAATTCAAACACGACCTTTTTGATTCCCAGGTTGGCCCTTGGAATCACTCTCTTAATCACAGTACATTGCTCCACATTAACTGAAACTCTTACTCTAACCCCTTGTTTATATGGAAAGGCATAGATAAGGTTAACTAGAATATTAGACAAAGAAGACATTCCACAAATACTCAGAACAGGGTGAGTAACAGTTTTCTGTTTCCAGCAAGGACGTAATTTAAAAAGGAGAAAAAGAAATGGAGGGAAAAGAACTAATATTGATTAAGCAAAACTGTGTCCTAGCCAATGTTCTAGGTAGTGCACATGTGCTATCACTTAATATTCACAATAACTTTTGGACGGTATTGTTACTTCACTATCTCTATTTTACAGATGGGAAAAATCCAAGACTCAGAGAAACTTAGCAAGCTGCCTGAGGTCATATAGCCAGTGAGGGGGGAAGCTGGGATTTAAACTCAATCAGTTAGCAGTCTTTCTTTCCTTTAAACTACATTATCTTTAACTGGACTTACCTGTACCATGTGGAATTTTGACCTGGAATAGAAAATATCTTTCCAGTGAGAGTTAAACAGAAGACTAACTCAGATGGGAGAATAGTAGGCTGAGAAATTCCTACATTAACTTTGGGAAATGATCAAAGAAGAATTAGTAGACACTGAAAGGAGGTGAGAAGGAATATGAGCTATAATAAGCGTTGCAGGCAAGAGAAGTAGAACTTAGAAGGAGAGACTCCAGCCTTACCTTGGGAAATCTTGAAGTGGGAATGCAGAACTGAATCAGCCATGGGTAAAAATACACTAGAGGCTGGGAGAACAGCCCAAAGGAAACTGCAAATGATGGGAAGGGAAGAAAGTAAAAAGTTTCCCAGGCATTGGTAATGCTTTGAGGCAACAGGACGCCCCGAGAAGTGGTCTTTGGCAAACCTGGAAAAAATTAGAGCTTTTGAAGGAAACTGTACGCTGAGGAAATAACAGGCAGAGCAACTAAGAAGCTGCTGACCTAATGACTGTGGTAGAAACAGTAGCCATAAATTTAGGGGATGAATCCAAAATATTATTTCACCAGACTTGGATACTAGGTTGAAGAGAGCAACTATGAATTCATTTTAAAATGCACTTTAACATTGAAAACTATTCGAACCATTGAGGAATATATGAAGTTGGTCATTGTTAACAACTTGGAATTTTTTTTAAATGGGATGAAAAAAGTAATTGATATGGTTTTAGAGTATAGTATATAAAGAGCCCTTTAAAAAAGTGATAGATAATTTTTTAGAGATAGAAAAATGTGAAGTATAAAGCTAAATTGAAAAGAAATGGAGTTTAATTCATCTTCAGTGATATTACTAGGATGGGGAACAGCCAAATATGTGGTAAAAATAATTGGCTCTTATAGTCCAGAGGAGTTACTGAGAGGAGAATAATACAGAGGTTAGAAATTTGGACTCTGTGGTCAGGTTTTGGAGCTTACAATTTTGGCTCTACACTAGTAGCGATGTGACCTTACACTTGTAGCCACGTGACCTCAGACAAGTTGTTTCATGTATAATTAAACAGTTTTCTCAATGTTAAAAGGATTGTTGAATAAGATAATCTATATATAGTAGCATTCAATAGGTGTTTGTTAATAATATCAAGAAATATGTTAAAATTAGTTTCAGAAATTAAAATGTTACTCTAAGAGTTTTATGATCTATTATGAAGATATATATTTGCTGCTCCTAATTTTTTTCTTCCAAAATTTCTTTTGGTAACTTTATTTTTAAAGTTGTATTCTTCTGTGTTCTTTTATACTCAGTCTCTAGACCAATTGCATTCTCTTTTCTGTATCTAAATGACTTACTTGGCTAGTTGAAGGACTATCTCATAAAAACTTGGAGAAAAATATATATTAAAATTAAACAAAATTAACTTTGTCAGTTTAGTTTTTAATATTTAAGTCAGCAAAAATATTTGTCATTTTTAAATTCCTAAAGTGTATTTATTTATTTATATTTATTTTAAATTATATTTATTGGGGTAACATTGGTTCATAGGATCATGTAGGTTTCAAGCATACATTTTTATGATAGCATACATTTTTATGATACTATTTAGTTTTGATATTTTCCATGATAGCTATCATTAATAGGGAAAATGATCAAAATGTTAAATAATGAGATAATAGCAATATATGGAAAACACCTAATAGTGATATAATTTAAAGCATTTATTTGCTTTTAGATACAGACTTACTTAAAGATTTCTCTCAAGGAGGCACATCAGAAGATAAACTTAATGTTCTTGCCCAACAGCAATATGAACAGCTAACACATGCAATGAAATGTAAGTTTAATCTTAAAATATGTTGTAAATCTTAGAAACATTACTATATTATTTCTCTATTACAATCAGGCAATGAGGTGTGACTATAAGTGGATTTCCCGAAACACTCAGTCTTAGGACCTTCACGTAACAAAATACTCATTTTTACCAATTAAAGTCTTCTAAAAAATATAATGCTTTACTATCATTTTTAACAGAGTTTAGCTGGCATAATTAACAATTTCCTAATGCTGAAGTGAAATAATTATGTACATCCATTATTGTACAGCTTCATCTTCTCTATTTCTTTTCTTGGGTTTACTTGATGTTATTTTTTTGTTGTCACTGTGTCTGTCCCTTACAACTCTTCTACAACTCAAATTTTAATCAAACTCTTACTTCTCTTAGTGATAAATAGAGAATAGAGAGATGCAAGTCTGCGTAACAAGGCTCTTTAAGTATTTATATTATTGCTTCAATCACTGCATTTAGATTGGAGTACCATTTAGATTCTGGTACTCCAGACATGAACGTGGAAATTGAAATGTCTCTGAGAAATTATATACATTTTTATTAATTCAGCATATGTTTACCCTATGCCTACTCTAGTTCAGGCATTAAGTTAGTGTTGGCATATGAGTGTGAATAAATCCTGACCTTCAAAGGCTCAAAGGGAAGTGTAGCTGTTACAGAACCGAAAGAGCCCACCCAGCTGGCACAAGCAGGACCAAACAATGGACACCAAGAAATGCAGTGGAGCAATATTGGCTTACCTTGTTGGTAAATGGCACCGTCCAGGAGAGCAGGAAGCTAATGCTCAAAAGCGCAAATTCCTTGATGATGTATAGGTGACAGATATAGGGCAAAATCTCAAGACACTGCAGGTTCTGGGCTGTGTTGGGAGCTGATTGATTGGAGGTGAGGTAAGGGTAAAGAATTTCTTCAGGTCTTGAGGACAGCTCTGAGGTCTTTTCTGGTCTCCCTGTGTCTTATTTCATGGGCAAGTAGCCAGGGGGTCCTTCTACCTTCGGGCCCAGGAACTGCAATATAACCTAGGCCAGGAAGTTATCTTTAGCCTGCCGGAGGTCTGGACCGTGCGACCATCAGTCAGGTCCCAGCTGCTGCCTTCTGCTGCCTCTGGGTTGCTGATTATCCAGGGGAAAGCCTAGGTCTCTAAGGGACTTATATGCCACAAGATGGGTATGATTTCTAGAACTAGGATTTAAACTAAATTTAATCAAAGTCATAAGGACCCTCGGTTTCATAGGGTATTGATAATTTAGTACATAAAGATATAGCATACATGAGATAGGTAGGAAGTAAAATGTAAAGCATAGAGAAGGTCTGCCTTTTGATGCTACTAACAAACGTTAATTTAAACATGATAATTTTGTATATGATCTATCAAGTAAGTGGGTTGGAAGATTAGCAAGCTGGTAAATAAATGTTTTGATTTTTCTCTGACTACTCTATTGTAATTTTAAATAATTACAGTATCATCTCTTGAAACTAGACAGCCTCCATTCCTGCTTTGTTTTTCTTTATAGCATTTTTCCAACTTATCATGTGTCTTATCATGTCAATAAAACAGAAAATAAACTTCCCAGTTGCAGGGATTTTTGTCTGTGTATCTCAAATGGCTAGAACACTGCCTACCACATAGTAGTTGCTTGATAAATTGTGAATAAATGAGGCATTATCTCATTTTAAAGATGAAAAATCTGAAAGTTTAAGTCATTTTCCCAGGGGCATACAGCAATAAGTAACAGAATTAAGATTCACACCTATGTCTGTTTCTAGAATTCTTTTAACTAGTTATGTGATATGGCTTGTGGAAGAATGGCTAGACGTAATAGCTCATGGCAAGCTGCAGTATTTAGTTGGGTTTTTTTGGAACTAAGTTGGTCACATTGACTCAATTTTCATACAATCCAGTTAGTGTCACTTTACTTATTGGCCACAGGCTACATGATTAATGCATGCCATCAAGGGTAGCCTTGCAAACATCTATGGGAGCTGTTCCCTTCAAAGTCATGCAGTACTGCACAGACAGACATCTGGAAACCTAGCAGATTTGTTTAAGATTGTTAATGGGGTCATTATGTTAATTACATCTTCTTTAAATATAGTTACTAAAGCTCAAGCAGTTGTTTACTGCACATGTTCAGTTTATCCAGAAGAGAACGAAGCTGTTGTTAAGAAAGCACTGGAACTTCAAGACCTTGCGACTAAAGTACAACCTTATAGGTAAGAAAGGATGGGATTCTTCTAGACACTCAACTAAGTATTTTTGAAAATGAAAACTTAATGATTTTCTAAGTTTTATGAAGACATTCCATTTCCTTTTTGTTATACTGTAATATGCCCAAATAGCCCATCTTCTTACAACTTTTTACAATGGCTTGGTATGAGCCTTCTCTTGTATACTAGATTACTGTTGTTATTGTTAAAGCTAAAGCCATTTTGGCTTGACTTGATTAGTTTCTGGAAAAATTTAGTCTAAACTTTATATCCTGATATCAAATACATCCATGCCTCAGTAGAAGAAAAATAATCATATAAAATAACCTGAGAAAATAGAGATAAAATTGGATGTTTATTATCTGAAAAACATACATTCCTTATAGCCTTTGGTACCCACAAGGACTAAGGTGAAAATAGCTTCAATAACTCTAGTAGCTTCTGGGTAAAATGCTGCAGTAAACTAGGGATAGAGAAGAAAAACAGTAATACTGCAACTGAACTATGGACATCAAGATAAGGAGTAGATCTAAGAATCTATGACACCAATTAGTTCTTCAAGACTGGCAATTAATAAGGTATTTAAAATGTGTTTCCTGTGTTTTACTTTATTGCTCATGTTTTGAACTTTTTCTTTAATTCTTACAGTAGGTTCTTAATGTGCACATGATTTGCTTCCTTTTTTTAATTGGATATTTTTCCTTTGCCCATTCACAAGTGGACCTGTTAATCACCCCTGTATTTCCCTGCTTATTTTACTTCCTTATTCAGTAACTCCTGTAGGTAGCCAACAGGCAGCCTTATGTTCTGAATCATTCTCAACATAACATTAGCTAAATTACCATCTAGTGGCAAAGAGAATTATTGCAGGTATATAACCAAATTCATCAATGTGGATGGTTCTTCATTTGTCAGGAATAACATTTCTAAGAATGTAATAGGGCAAAAAAGGAGAAATATCTGTATTTTATTTCATGAGGCTTTATTTCAGGTAAGCAATTATTAATCTATAATATTGTATAAAGTACACAAATAATATTTAAGGACATATTATAAAGACAGAATAATCTGGGATTTGGGCTCAAATTAAAAAGTATATATTCAAGAAGTTTGTAATTACTTGTTGGGGATACTGTCAAAAGAATTACTTAGGGACGTACACTGTGTGGCCTCTAAGAATTATTTCTTAATTCCCAAAGTAGTAGACTTTAGGGTTGAAAGCATTATTATATACCATCTAATCTAATCACCTGTTGCTAACTTTTTCTTTTAACATCCCATAAAGAGTCACCTCATTTTGGACTTTAGCCATTGTGATACTCATCTTTATCAGTGCAATTTTTTTTACTTGCCCCCTATTGTAAAAACTTCAGTTTTATTTTATTACAGAAATACTAACTGAAAAAGAATAAGTTTTCCTAAATCTTACTGTACCGTTCTTACCAGTTTGAGAAGGTTGTGCACATTTTAAGTTTTAATTGGTATTGTCAAGCTTCTCGCCAAAATATCCACTCTTACAAACTTATTTCCCCACAGCTCCACAGATGCTAGGTTTCATCAGACTTTAAATCCTACCAGTCTGAGGCATGAAAAGATGAGATCTCACTGTTGATTAAATTTTCATATCTCCATTAATGAGTCTGGGCGCATGTGCTGTTTACTGACCAGGCCTGTACTGTGTGGGAAATAAGAATGAGGGTTCTAGAGCAGTAGACTTGAAACCTTTTTGCAATGTTTGAAAAAACAGTTTTTCAAATACTCCCCTAACATTTTAAATTAACTATGTAACTTTTTCTGTATTTTAAAGTTGATGTCTAATATTCATCATGTTTAAATCGTTGTTAAATATATCATTTCTGTAATGTTATATTATACATGTGATTTAAATATATTTCTGTTAAATCTTTGTATCTGCAGATTTATCTTATTCAGTTTATGGAAAAATACTGAATTTTTTTACCTATTTTACAAAGCCAGCTCTCACTGTGAAAACCAATTGACCCTGTCAGAAAAAGGGTGACTTTATTTTTTAGTTCAAATTGACATGTTAATATGTCCAATGAGTTACTTCTAATTTTACTCTAAATTAGATGTGTAGAAATAAGGAGGGGGAGCACAGGGGAGGGAGGGAGGAAGGGAGCGAGGGCACAAGGAAGGAAGTTCATGAATAGAGCTTGTTCAGTGTTTGGCACCCCCTTAAAGATTTCTTGCCTACACTCTGCTTTGACTTGGAGAAGAGAGCCACGCTCTTGAGTTTCACCTTTTTTTAGCATCCTAGGGGTATTAACATCCCAGGATAATGTACTATAACAAAGTAAGTGTCTTCTTTTGTTCAGCATGGTGAAAGGAGAGGAAGGAAAAGCAGCTGTAGCCTCTGGATCACGTCTGCTTCACTGGCTCTTTGAGGGATTGAATGTATCACTACACGAACAGTGACTGGCATGTAACTGATGCTCAATACATGTAGCTAGTTCATGTTCTTCACCACTTTTTCAACTGTGTCTTTCCTCTTTTTCTTCTTTTTATATGTATGGTCATTGTATATTAGAGATATTAGCTGTTTTCATATGAACCACAGATATTTTTAAATAAAAATTTTGATTAAAAATTGCATATAGAAATCTCAAATTTCTGTGTACACAGTTGCATCAGTCTTTTCTTATGGCTTGTTTTAAACTGTTCCTCAGTTTATATATTTCTTACCAGTTTTCCTTTCATATTTTTGTATTTAAATAATTTATTTATCTGCTGTGTATTTTGGTAAAGGAGTAAAGTACGAATCATGCCTTATTTTCCCTCCCCCCACCAAATCCTTTACTCTTTCCCCCCGCTGATTCAAAATGCCAGTTTTTATATGCTATAATCCCATATATATTATACTTTTGTGAGTCTGCAATTCTGTTCTACTCTGTTCTTAACAGTTTGAGAAGGTTGTGCACATTTTAAGTTGGTGTTAGACTATTTCTTCACTAATATAACAATGTTTTAATAATTATAATTTTAAGTGGTTTTCTTCTCAAATTTCATTTTTTTAAGTTGCCAAAACCCCTACCCACATTTGTGTATCAAATAAAACAATCCAAAGATGCATAATGAGAAGGTTACTAATTTTAGTCCTGTCTCTCCCCCGCCAACTCCCAAAATGTCCAGCAGCTGGAACAGGGCCCTGAAGGTCCCTGGACGAGCAGGTGCTCCTTTGTCCCTTTCTCTCCTGTGAAGGTCTGGAAGGGGCGCTAGGAGAGCCGGGGCAGCTAGAGGGCAGCAGAAGTAATGACATGTTTACCACTGGTAGAGCCATACCAGTGTGAACCAGTTGCGTATCAGCCACGTGAGTGTGTGTGTGTACAAGCGTATCTCAGAGACACTGCGGCCTCAGTCCCAGAGCACCGCAGCGCAGCGAGCAGACATCCTCTCACTGGGGGAGGGCCTTGCCTTCAATTTGTGAATAATGCAACATTTGTGAGGTGCAATAAAGCAAAGCACAATGAAATGAGGTGTGCCTTTATATATAATGTTACAGGTACTATATACAATAAATATGTGGAACTGTTCCTATTTTAATGTTTTTTATTGAATTTATTTGGGTGACCTTGGCTAATAAAATTTTGTAGGTTTCAAGGGTACAGTTCTATAACACATCATCTGTACATTGTACTGTGTGTTCACCGCCCCAAGTCAAGTCTCCTTCCAACACCCTTTATCCCCCCTTTACCCTCTTCTACCTCCCCTTTCCCTCTGGTCATCACTATACTGTTGTTTGTCTATGCTATTTTAATAAGTTTTAAAAATTGAAATATAATTCACAAACCATAATTCCTCATTTTAAAATGTACGATTCAGTGCTTTTTAGTATATTCAGAAAGTTGTGCAACTATCACCACTAATTCCAGAACATTTTCATCACCCCAAACAGAAACTTAGTACCCCCTAAGGAGCCACTTCTCATTCCCCTCTTCCCCTAGCTCTTGTCAACCACTAATCTACTTTCTGTCTCTATGGACTTGTCTTTCGAGACATTTCATTTAAATGAAATTTTGCAGTGCCCTATCAACTCAGAAAAAATCCCAAATGTCATCATCGAAGTCAGGTGTAAGACTCTGGGTATGAACTTAATTTACTATTCAAAGAAATGGGCTACACACTGGGGTGTGGAAATCTTTTTGTTCTGTAGGGGCAATTTCTGTAAGGTAAGTTGGCCAATCTTAATTATGGATCATTACTACCATTAAAAAAGAGCATATACGTAATGAAAGTATATCAGTCTATCAAATAAATATTTATTGAATACCTACTGTGTACTAGATGTCCTTCTAGGTGCTAGGAATATATCAGTGAATTAAAACTGACAAATTCCAGCTTTCATATTTACATTGTGGAGCTGTGCTCCAAATTGGTAAGAAAAAATTGTTTTCAGAGTATTCTTTACTAATATATAAGTAAAAAATTTTAAAATTACTTCTAGTTGTGTAGAGAACATATATGAATAGGCCTCAGGAATTCAATTAGTTGGTTACAAGGTTGGTGAGAGGAGCAACTAGCTCTCTTGCCTTTAGAACCTATGCAGCTGTTACTGTGTTTCAGCTCAGTTCAGCATAAACACTTACTAAAGCACCACCATTGGCCAGATGCTTTGGCGTGTCACGAGGTCATGTGTGTTTGCCCACATTCTAAGTGACCTCTCCATCCCCTTAGTCACTGTATTTTCCTGACACACAGAATACTTGCTGTACCCTGAGCAGACATTTTCATGACATGTGTGCTATTGTTCAAGTTCTCCTTGTCATCTGGAATCACCTTCTTTACCTTATTGGAAACTTACATATTCTTCAAGACAGAACTGAGGCTACTTCCTCTGTGAAGTCTTCATATTTGCTATCTCCCATGCCAGAGTTGACAGTACTTTATTCTGTTCTACCACATAATTTTGTTTCTACTTAACATTCTTATTTGGGGTTCTTTATATTATAAAATGATTATAATGTTTCTACAACTAACTTACAAACCACTGAAGAGAAGCAATTAATAGATAAATGCTTTGCACAGAGTAGGCAAATAATGAATGAACAAATTGTAATTGCTTAAAATTTCAGAATATACAAAATTATTGAGTGCCTGATATTTCAATTTATATGAATGTGTTTATTGCTCTGATTAAATATATTTTAATTGTAAAAGTATGGGAATATAAGATTTATTATTTATGAACCACTATTAAATGAGAAATTAAATATAAAAACAAAATTTTATTTTAAACCTATTATTAGATTTATATTTCTGACATGAAGTTTTTATTAGGTACTTTCTTGAGCACTACATAATTCATCCATTAGTACTCAAAAAGTTATTGGGAAGAATGTAGTTAAAATGCTAGGCCAAACTTTTATGTGGTAATTGTGCAGAATGTAACCAAAAGAAGGAAGTCAGACCTTGTGTAGTTTGACAGCAGGGCGGGGGAGTGGGGTGGCGGAGGCAGGGGGGTGCGTACAGGATCCCTTGGGTTGCACCTGTGTGATTATTACATATACTGACTTGTTTTGGTTATGGGGACCTTTTTTATTAACATATTAATGACTTGGGTAAGAGTTTTTAATTTGCTGAAAGGTTGGTATTCTTGACGTAGTTTTTTTAAAGATGGAGAACTTGGGAAGTAGAATAAATTATGAGTTAACATGAAATATTGGGAGTTTTTAAATTATAATAGTATTGTATAGCTTCAGGATTTTACCCCAGTTTGGAAGTTATGTTGAAATGACTGGTAAAATGTAACAGAAGAAAATTTGTTGCAATTTACTGTCTCCCTCCATTGGCAAATTAGCCTTTGTAACTATGAACTGTTTGCTCATCTCTACCGCAGGCTCAGCCCTCCTGTCCTCCCGCTGTGCTCCTCAAAGGAAATACAGTTGTCTACTGATAAATTTTTCAGAATGGAACCATCTGAAATTACTAATGGTTGTTTCCTTTCTGTTCTAACAAGGGAGGTAAGGAAAAAAAATTCCCAAAGCATATCATATTTTGTAATTAAGAAACACCAAATCCTCAGGAACGTAGTGTTTTGTAGCGGTGCGCTTGTTTTAGAAATAGCTGAAGACAGGAATAAGAATTATTACTGTGTGGCCAAAAAAAAAAAAAAAAAAATCCGTTTTTATACTTCCCCTTGCCTGATCTCCATCCCCACTTCACCAAGCACTGTGCCAATGTCTAGTTCATCTTATATATTTCACATACTAGACATAAGCTGTAATTCTTTTTTTCCCCCCATCAGGTTTATAAATGGGGAATTTTAAGTACAAAAAAATCATTTGCTGAGGCTGATGGGATATATTAGGACTAAGGCCTACAGTCCGTTTTTTTTAGTATAATACACTTTTTTACTTATTCTGAAACACTGATATTTGTGATATACACACTAAGTTAAGGCCCATATTTAGTAATTACTTCTTTATTGTAGCGGGACCCATCTGAGACAGTGTCTGTGAAAGACGTTTTGGCTCGCGCTGCAGCAAAGGGTCTGCTGGATGGGATTGAATTGGGTAAATCTCCAAAACGGGAGAAGAAGAAGAAAAAATCAAAAACAGCATTGCCCAAAGCTCCCAGTACTCATAGTAACAGCATTCAAACGAAAATTGCTGAGTTCCTGAATCGAGAAAGTAATGCAAATATTAATCGGTCAGAGATATCAACAACAAAAACGCCTCTTGCACAGAAAAGTACAACTCAAGTGGGTTCTTCCTCACAGGTCAGAAAACCCAACAAGCCAGCCACCAACCCCTTAGTGCCAACATTTACGAAGAACACATCTCCCTCCAGACCATACGAACGACCCTCAAACTTCGTAAGACCTCGCCCAGAAGACAGAATGGTTGTACTGAAACCTGTAGAGATTGTTTTGCCTCCAGTAATGTTCCCATATTCAACTCCTCAAGGACTCAGACCTCAGATACCAACTCAACACTTGTACTATCGTTGGGTTAGAGCCAAGCCTGTTGTGCCTGATTACCTTTGCGCACCATCAATAACCAGAAAAGGGGAAAAACCTAGAAATTTACCTTCCTCCCTACTCAGACATCGTCAGCCATGGCTTTGACAGTCTTGTGTATGTTTTGTTTTAAAACAGGGGCCAAGAGCAGTTGATATTTTTCGGTCTGATATTTCTCTGCAGCTTAGACATTCCTACACAAGATACTCATCCTTTCAGTCACTTAGCATCTTCTAAATGTGAAATTATCTTCTAGAGAATTAAGACAAGTGAGAAACAATAAGGTAGGTCGTTAAGTAAAGCAAAATTCAGAGATTTCAACAGCTCAGTGCTGATCTGTTCTAGAATGTTCACTTGTAGACTCAGTTTCAGCTGTTAAAACTAGTCTCACTCTTGTTAACTTTCAGTGTGGATTTAGGACACCACGTTTTAGCATTTCAGTCAATATCAAGGTTCATGTTTTTCTTAAATATAAAAATATTCTTTAAGCAGGGGATGATATGAGTTTTGTAATGTGATTGAAGTTGAATATGAGTAGGAAGAACAGGAAGCCCTGAAGTTCCATGTGTAGATAGTCAGATGTCCATTTAGAGTGAAAACTGTTTCTCATTAGAAGAGCTTCCAGGATCCTGAGCAGATTGAACATAATCTGCTCTCCCTTCTATTTATGCCCAATACTATAGTAAAAAAAAGTGACTAAGCAAATTTCCATCTAAATAGTAATAATCCTGAAGAGGCAAACTGTTGAATGCACGTGACACCTATTGTTAAGAAACCCCCCAAATTTCTGGTTCTCTTCAAAGATCAGGTCAAATATTGACATCTATGTCATTTCAAATGGCACACAGTAGTCAAATTTTGGTAGTTCATTTCTGATGCACACTTAAAATATAGCACTATGTTAAATTTTATTAAAAATCAGCTCTTCTTAAATGTATGATCAAATGTCTACTGAGAGCCAGTAAGATGCTCACTTCTGGATCTATTGATTTTTTTCCATCATGGCAAAAGAAATTGCTTGACATTAAATCGAGTGAGTTACAACTATAAATCTTATTGTTCAGAGACACATTCATAAAGTTTGAATTTCAAGTTCTATGTTCAGAATCTAGTTGTGTTGAACATTGCTATGCAAATTTCTAAATGTCCAATGTAGGTGGCATGATTTTGGTAGAATATTATCTTCTTCCGCATGAATGTTTAGGTCTATTTCAGCTCTAATGTTCTTTATTTTCTCATGTGACGTGAGGATAAAAAATGGTGAATATCATTTTAGTAGTAATTTTTTTAGTTGAAGGTTTACATTTATCAATAAAATGTCACTGAAGAAAACAAAACCTTATACTTGAACCAGACATATTTTAAATACCAAAAGAATAATTATGACTTAAAAATATACAGAAATGTTTTAAATGCTCAGCTTTAGTAATTTAAAAAATCAAAAACTATGTATTTCTTCGCTCTTAAAATCTATAGTGTTTCACCCTCTTACTCCCACTCTCTACCTGGCTAAGAGTATTCTGTGCCTCGGGGAGGCTAGTGTGGCTGAATTGGACTTTGTTCCGTAAAGAGCTGGTATTCTATCCTAGGAATCTTTTATCCCTTTCCTACCCTCTTCCCCTTGCCCCAGGCTGAAAAGGACTCCATTGTCCAAAAGTGACAGGTGTGAGATTTTTGTGGTAAAAGAAGAAAACTCTCACTGTTAAGAAATAGTTCAGGATATTTTTCTCATCTCTAGAGCAGAATGTGATTCACATCATGTTACTTTAGCCGCCTATTGTTAAAATCTCCTAACATGCATGTCACTAAATTATTTTTCTCTTTAGAAGTAGATGGGAGATTCTGAATTAAACCATTAATTAATTAAGCCTGGTTTTCTTCTTTGAGAATCTTCTAAGAAGGACATGATCAATTATTTATATACTTTGGTAGAGTCAAAAAAGAAAAGTACTTAAAAAAAAATTCAAGAGTTCTAGTGAAGAATATTGATAATGTTGACATTTTTCTTTCTTGAGCTTCCTAGAGAAAGGTGTTGCAAAAATCTAAAATAGTAATTACTGGTATTTAGATATTCCAATAGCAAATTCAGACTTTTATCTAAATCTACCTGAAACAAAAGTGAAATTTTGCTTCTTGAGAGTAACTGCCTTTGATAGAGTACAGGAGATAAACTATCAGGGAAAATGCAAGATGAACAAAGAATGGATACATACTTTAAATTCTATTTGTCTTCTTTCACATGTCTAACACTTAAACTAAACCACACTCAACTGATTTGTTTTCCTAGGTGCCTTTGAATAGGGATTTACTGCCTGTAGATTTTTTTTTTTAATATTTTATTTATTTTTAGAGAGAGGGGAAAGGAGGGAGAAAGAGAGGGAAACATCAATGTGGTGTTGCTTCTCACCTGCCCTCAAATGGGGACCTGGCCCTCAACCCAGGCATGTGCCCTGACTAGGAATCGAACCAGTGACACTTAGCTTTGCAGGCTGGCACTAAGCACACTGAGCCACACCAGCCAGGGCTCTATTCTTCACTTTGATGTCAGGTTCATTCTAGTTCTTACCAGGTGGAAATATGCAGTAAGTAATCAAAGGTAAATCCCACATCACTGAAATAATTTGAGGTAAGAATAATCTGAAAATAAAATGACTAAAGACACTAGAGTTGTATTTCTATTCCTACATATATGACTTGAGATGTCAGATGAATGAGTCAAACACTTTATGCAGCTAAGTTTATTCTCACAACATAGTACATTTAAATGTGTAAAAGTGGTCAACAGCAAAATGGGCAGAAAGCAAAACCAAATGTTCTTTCAGGATAAATGAGCTGCTTTGGGTGGCAGGGGGTGCTCTCACTGAGGAGGTGTGAGCAGTATCTTTTCCCTGAAGCTGAAATAAACTTCATTTTACTGGCTCTATAATACACCTGTCAGCTGTGTGCTAGGGTAAGTAAGCCTGGCAAACCAGAGAGTGAAGAGTTTTACTAGGTTAATTGTGCAAATATGAGGGAAATGTCCTTCATGTTGTTTATGAAATCTTGAATTTGTGTTGGGTGCAACACTTATGAAAATGAGTGTGTCATACAAGAAAAGGAGTAAAAGTATAGGGCTTTTAGTAAATGACCTTCTGTAGAATAATCATACCAATGACCATCATAAAATCATAAAGTGGATTTTTAAAAAACGTAGCAGTGCCAACAGGTTATCAGCAAGAACTTATTTTAATGGAAATGAATCTAATGTCCCTTCATGCAGTAAGACACAAACAAAAAACAATGGTTCTAATTAGCTGTGGGTGGAAACAAAGGGCAGGGGGACATGTGTTTATCTTTTAGATGAGACCACACATGTTGTGGAAGATATAAAAGTGAAGCACCAAGCAGCGCTTTCATTTGCAAAGTAAAAAGTTAAGCCATAGGCATGTTGGCCATTCCCCTTGATGCTGCCAAGGAGCACGTATATGAGGTGGCGAGTCTGTGTCTATCTGGCTGCTTTTAAAAAATAAAAGGAGCTTTAAGCTTTTTGCCTTTTCTTCTACATATTCCAATAAAAATGTGACTACAAATCATTACAAAACCACCTTTTAGGCAAAGTATATAGTTCACTGAGATAATATCCAGTAAAGATAATACATTAACACAATAATGCAGTATATTTCAGTAAAAATAGAATAAATAAAAATATTTTAAGCTGTATTTAACAAGTTAATTAAAAAAATGATAAGACATACAAGGCATAGTGAGCGTGGCTGCCTGTTTACCGAGTCACAGACATGAAGAATGCATAGGTAACTGAAGTGTCACTGCAACATCAGGTAAAACACTGGCATCCTTTCACAAAAAAATACACACATACTTTCAGACATACTTTTTGGCCATGGCAGAAAGTGAACATACTGTTTAACATAATTATTTTTACAAAATCGCATTTAGTATGCAAAGCTATTTTCAAAACAAAGTATCTGCAGTAAGGTTTTCAATATGTAGAGGCTATCGTTCATCTTAATGTATCCTAGTAATTGCATATATAAATCAGTTTGCTACTGAAAGCTAGCTCAGTATTCTTAATCCTGAAAACAAACATATGCCTTAAAAAATGAACAGGGGGTGCCGGTAGAGATTTCCAACATAACAGTGTATTAGTTGATCAGAATTTTGAAGGGTATCATTCTAAAATGTTTCACCGTGGACATCAAGACGGAAGATGATCATGACTGAATTTCAAACAGCTTTCATAGGGCACAGAGAGAATTTTCTTAATGCAGTAACTTCTTAAGGTGGTATTGGTTACTTCAGATAGAAGTATACAGGCTGGTGAGAAGTGTAACTCATGTCTAGAGTGGCATCTTTTTTTGCTAACACCAGGGTGTTAGCAACAATTCCAGAATTCTAAGAGAACGGAGGTAGAAGGCCTCTACCCCAGGACCCATCATCTCTGGAAAATCTCGTGGGTTGAACAGGCTGTACTGCACATAGACTCCTGTCCTCTACAACATCTCTGAGCGCGCTGCACGAAAATAGTCCTGGACTGAGAGAAAGCAAGGGTTTGCAATTCTTACCACTGTGTCAGGAATTTGGACATATTCCCTGCCTATACAGGAAATTCTAACATTTCTGGACAGTAACTGGATATGCCGAGAGGAACACGTAAAGCCTCCTCGTGGGAGTGGAAGCAGCGTAACTTAAAACTGGGAGTTGGTAAGTGTGGGTCCTAACTTTGTGAGACCTGAGGCTAGGGGACTGAGTGTCTTGGTACTTTATGTTTTTATTTCTCAAATGTGTTTAGTACCTTCTTTACCTTATAAGGCTCAAATGTGATAAGAATGTGAAAACCGTCTGATAAGTACGTAGCAGATAAACATAAAGCAGTTATTTTGATCACCAGATGTTGTAAAGTGTTAATTCTGACATTAAAAGTAAACAAGACTAAAGTTTAGATTGATCTCCTTAGCAAATTCACTTGGAAAACAATGGATCTAAGGGTCTAAGTCTGTGAATCTTAAAGCGAAGTTTCATATCTAGACGGAGAAGCAGGAAAGCGCTTGTTTTGGGAAACTTATTAAATAGTACATTGCCCTTATGTAAATTTTGCTTTGATATGAAATTTTTTACTCTTGAAAATGTAACAAAAAAATATAAATTTAAAAGTGTATCTAGTGGGGTCCAACAAATTCTAATAGTAAATACAAAAATTCAAGCAGGTTCAATTTAATGCAATTTGTTGCCATGGAAAATACATGATGGACAGACAGCTTCCTGGACAAAAAGCATTAGGGGAAGACTGAGCTAGATGCAGAACCCTAGCAGAACGTTTACTTAGGAGGTGGACCAAGAAAATAACATCATGGTGACAATCTAAAATACAGATGACATTTTCTCAAATGCAAATTGCATATGGCTAATTATTGAACTAAGGATAAAAGGCTTACAAGGAATATTTCATTTCATGTTGTTTATGTAGAGAACGGCCCTAGTGAACTTCAATTCTCTAGCTGCATTGTACAATATAAGGCAGAAGTTTGAGGATGTCCCACCCAAAATGCATTATGACTTTGTAAATCTCTCTTTTTCTCAATCAGTTTGAAAACCATCTGAAAAGAAAGGCTATTTTTGTTTGATTTTAATTTCTGAAATTTGGCCTGTTTTCAATTTTGAAGTTTCCCTTTTTCCAATACCCCACAACAGCTGTAGACATGAAACGGTGCCTGTGTGTCAGAGCTCGTCAAGGAAAGCCGCCAGGTGGTCTCCGCACTGATGCCAACAGCCAATTTTGTCAACCAAAAGGTTCAACATTATGAGTAACTAAAACAAAAACTCATCATCCTATTTTTATAGCATTTCAATGGCATGTGGTATACAGTGTCCACTCCAATGTTGAAAACAGGGCAAAGTGCTGTAGGACTTAAAAGTTGTTGTGACAGATCCAGTCAAGAAGATGACGAACCTAATTCAGGCATCAATCACTCCAAGGACTCAGCATCAGTTCATTAGGAGGGGTGTGGCCACATTCTTCTCTGTGTGTGTGAAGTTAAGTAATGTTCACGATATTTACAAGAAGAAAAAGACCTTCCACTGCTCATGGTGTAACTTACAGCAAAAAAAATTAGTCATGCTTCTTTTCATATCACATGACGGTGGCAAGACGAGAGAACATGCTTGTCTAACACTGTTTGGTTAAGGATAAGTTCTCTGAAGACAAAGCATCAGCAACCGAATGGAAGGCCGGATATCAGTTCATCTTCTTTAGTGTAGCTCTTCAACCTTCAGGTGAGTATTACGGAATCCTTTACCATATGCAGCTATGGTGTTTCTGTGACAGGGCGTTTCTGTTTCAAAGTGTCAATGAGGGATAAGACCCCGCGTTTTACATTGGTTGTGACTCTTCTGGTCACTGAGTCCGCTGGCGGAGGAGGTGGCCGAACTTTCTGTGAAGGTGGCCTGGCTACCAAGCACTTCTGGTATCGCAACTGAAATAAAACAGAACGTGGTTTCGGTGGTTAATAATATAATCATCCTTCTCGTTTAATGTGATTTTAATTAATCACCAGTGCATTTACTCCAAAAAAATTAAAGACCTAGCTCCCAAACATGAATCCAAGATTTTAGTAATTTTTTTCTTAGGGTGTTTTAAATTTTCTTAAAAGGCCGTGAGGCTCCAGAACAGTGCTTTGGCTTTTGCCCTCTTTTTCTTCATTTCCACCCTTTATTGTCCTCTGTATTGACAGGCTGCAATTCACATACCTCATAGTCACAGAGCAAGTCTAAATCGAATGGATTAATTTTTTAAAAATCCATGAGTACTGGTAACATGAGCAGTTTCTTATCCTTCAGAAATATAACAACACAATATACCTGCTTTTGTATTAAAGCAAAGATGGATATTCTTCAAACTAAGAAGAAAAAGGATTGGGGGAGAGGTTAAGGTTTTCCCAGAGACGTGTACGGGGGCAAGCGCTCACAGCTACTGAGAGGCAGCATGGCAGAGAGGCACCGTGTGGATCTAGGCTCTCCCCCAGGCTTCGGAACCACGCGAGTGACTCTAAGTCATATAACCTCTGAGCCTCAGTTTCTTCAACTGCAGAATGGCTGAAGAATGGCGATTGCTTATGATTAAGGAATACTTGTAGAAAGCCTAAAATAGGCCTGTCAATGCAGAAGGCATTCATAAATGCTGCTTCTCTCCCCTATTTCCTGCTTTAATTAAAAAAGAATGACTAATGAACAGATTTCGGGACACATTTTTTATACAAGTCTAAATCTTAATGGATTAATTTTTAAAAATCCATTAGTATTGGCATCACAGTTTCCATCCTTCAGAACTATAACACAATCTGCCTACTTTTGTCTTAATGCAAAGACATAATTTTTCATGATTAGATAAAAAGGTTAAAATTTATCAAATGTTTTTTCCTAATCCAGGCACTTGAAAATAATTCCACGGCTGGTTTTTTAAAAATCCACTTAAATATTAATACATTCCTTAGCATAGTTATGAAACAGGCAGATGTGTCCCCCTGAGGAACAAACTATCTACAGCAAGACTCTTGGTCACAACGTTCTGTCATGGCCCACCGCCACCACACAGCCAGCCGCTTCCAGCCCAGTCATACGAAAAATGGTTCCTCGCGTGTTTCCTCTGCGTAAGGTGTCTTGCTAGATCTGCATCACAACCCAGACCACACGCATCCAAAGGCGTTATAAATGGGCACTTGTGGCAACATGGTACACTGGGCTGGGACTTCCCAATGCTAAGTAGGTGTGTCCAGCATGAGTCAAAACTGCACCTGATGAATTTCACTAAGAGTCCCTCTCAGTCTTATTCTAAGTTTCACCAAAATATTTTCAGCTGGGCCTCTACCACACAGCTGCAAAACAGGCCTAACAAGTATCAAAAGAATGTGTTAACATCTCAGACATATGAGATGGTACAATGCATATATATATTTTAAATCCTCACCTGAGGATATGATTTTATTGATTTTAGAAAGAGGGGAAGGTGGGGGGAGTGAGAGAGAGAAAGATCAATGTGAGAGAGACACAAATCAGTTGCCTCCTGCATGCACCCTCACCGGGGATTGAACCTACCACCTCTTCCTGTACAGGATGGTGCTCAAACCAACTCAGGCACCCGGCCAGGGTGCAGAGATATTTCAGATAGAGAATCACACCCATGTGTATCAAGAGGCAAGCCTCTGAGTTAGAACTGCTGGCTTCCGAGTGTTGAGAAAAGTTTGATTTTTGTCAACATGCCTCTTCCAGGGCTGGTTGGGCCACTTTAGCAGGCTGCCCCAGTACCAGTAAAATAGTGCGCGAATGAGTACAAAATTGCTGCCAAGCTACAGAATGGGGCTGGGAATCAGAAAACGAACTGTAACCAGTGATAAAGCTAATAATTTAATTGTCATCAGCATTTAAAATGTATAATTAAAGCTGAAAGCCCTTTGTTTTATGACTAAAACCATCTGTTATGATCATTTGCAATTTCATGAAATACCTAAACAGTCGTCCTCCCTTTCTGCTTGGCTGAACGCGCCGGTTCTCTGCTTTCCCCACGTAGCCCCTGCATCCCTCCGCGGCCTCCCACGCCTGGTCAGGAGGTCCACCTTGCTCCCTCTGCCCAGCTCTGCTCCTTTCAATGCAGACTCCTGGCTCCAAAGGACATGGGGGACTTGTACACTCTGACGAAGGGAAGTGGTACAAGGGCACACATATAACGAGTGCACACCACCAGGTCTTCCCTTCCCTTCTCCCTCCTTCCTTCTCGCTTTCAAAGGGGTCTTTTATGATAAAAGTCAACCAGCTCTCTTTTCTTACTCCCCACCTTGGCCATCTGCCATCCACCTCCTTAACCTAGCGATGCGCTGTATGTAAACCACAGAACTTCCCTCAGCGTCTCTAAACTCCACCTGCTCTTCGATTACAGCATCTCCTCCTGGCCAGTCTCACAGTCACTCTAACCCAGCGATTTTTAAGTGATGTGCCACAAGACTTTTTAAAACACGCGGTATGTGACTATTTAGTCAGGGGCACTGACCTCTTTTCCCTTAGAGTGTCAAATAAAAAATGACAACAGCCAACATAACAATAGCCATCCAATTGTGAGTGAATCAAAATTATACCTACTTTTTTGTCAGGCAAATATATTTCATTAATTAGCTTATTTGTGCCATGAGATGAATAAGGTTGAAATTTACTGTGCTAACCCAATTAGCAGGCTAAGCAACTGCCGTGCTGCTCCCTGGCTCCTAATCTACCATCAAGATCTTGCCCCCAAATGCGCGCACGCGCGTGTGTGCGTGTGTGTGTGTGTCCCCATTTCAATCCAGCTTTACTGGTTCATTTCCCTGAGCCTAAAAAAATGCACCGATCTTCCCCATCCTAAAGCAAATGAGCAAACCCCTTGATGCTGTGCTTTGAGCTACTTACCCTTTACTGTCAGACTTCGTAAGTGATCCATTTGCAGGGCCTCCACTTGTCCTTCCCAGTCACTTCTCAATCCAGTGCAGTTTTACACTTTCAGTTATAACACTTTCTACACTACCAGGATCTTTTTATGTATCTCCTCCATATGCCTGAGCTCCATAAAGCAAGGATCCTTCCTTAGTCCTACTCGAACTTCCATAGTCCAGCCCGTAAATGGTGGACTGAATGCAATGAAGCACAGACGCTTCACATGCAGCATCCGCCATCCCCCAGCCAGGCGATTCTCCGCAGCGGCTCAGGCCGTCTGCTCCCGACCGCGGTGCTCGCTGCCACGCTCCTGGGTCAGGTGCTCTGCAGCTCTCATCTGCCCAGTCACCTGGCCTCCTGGTTGACCTCCCCACCGCAGCCTTGTCCTTTCAACCCATCTTCCACTTCTTTTTTCTTTGGTTCTCAAGTTACACTTTTAAAACCTACTATGGTCAATCCACTTTCCCGCTTCCCAGCCTTTGCTGAAGATAAACACCCTGGCGTGCCATTATGGGCACTTCTTAACATGGACCTTGCATCCTTTCCCTTGGTTCCACCAACCCAACCTGCTGTTGCTAGAACAGACCAGGCGTCAGGTTTGACGCTTATGTTCACATAATTCATTTTTACTAGAACTTTATCAGAGCCCAGCATCATCGGCGCTCAAAGGATATTTGCAGAACGAATGACAAAACATTTTTGTCTGCAATCACACACGATGCCAAGAGCACTGGCTTGGTCACCCAGAGCACCCAGGCTCTGTCACCCACCGTGCCCAGGGGCCCCCCCTTCCCCTGAGCCTCTGTTTTCTGATAGATAAAACAACTACCCAACAGGATTGTTGTAAGAATTGAATTAATAGATACAAAGTAAATAAAATATGAAAGAACAATGGACATAAACCAACTATCTGAAATAAAAGTCACCTTCAATAAACGACATTGAAGTACTCCAGTGGTGCCAAACAGCACCAGCTCATGCATGACCAGCATTTCCTGATCACATCCTGAAACTAATCAGGGATCAAGAACTGAGAGTCCCCAGACCTGTGGTTTCAAAGATTGACCTTTTCAACGTTATTGGAGTCTCTACAAAATTGGGCTCCACCGGCCCTGCTTCTTGCAGGCGTCCTCGCTGCTTGCCAGGGCAAACTGTTCATCATAACTGATTCTGCCGACAGGGATGAGTGTTATGCAGTAAAGCATTACTGTCAAGATTAGACTTGTCTCCTTTTAAATCTATAACCCTGCTCTAACTTACAGCACACGAAACACAAGCAGGGGAGCACAGGCCGAAGGAGCCCCTGCAGCGGGCCACTCACCATGCAGGCGGCCTGCACCGCCTCGGACACATTCCCGGCGTTCGGCTCGCACCAGAAGACGTGGCACTCAAAGTGCTGGTTCCCAGTGTCCATGATGAAGGCAAAGGTGTGGATATCCTTCCCGACGCCCATGAAGGACAGAAATCGCACACGACATTCCACTAAGATTTCCTCTTCATTCTGAAAGACACGTTGTTCAGTAGCCACTCTCTCTGGGGAGCTGGGCAGCCATCACCAACACATTCAGACCTTAAATCATAGATTCAAGCTTTGACTGGTCACCAAGAGGATTAAAAAAATACACAGCCAGATGGAATTTAGGAAGAACTTGTATTTTTCGAGACAGGCAAGCTTCTCCAAGTGACTGGCAAGGCCCTCATTGCTGCAGGTGCGTCTCACTGCCTTTGATCTTGCTCTGCACCACAGGCAACCGTGGTGTGTGGGCTGCCCCCTGTCCGCTATGCTCCGCACCTGCAAGTTCACTGAGGACGGGATGAAGTCATGTACATGTCTTACATCTTGCCCACCCAGTGGCTCAAAGCCTGTCTGCCCGGGCGAGCCCACTGGAAGCCTCACGGCACCCAGAGAAAAGGGACCACGGAATCTCTCCCCATCCAGCTCTTCCCCCCAAGCTGAACAGCATGCTGAGTCATACTTCTATCTAAAACCGTGTAAAACAAAAAGCTGCCAAATCTTTTTTTGTTTTTTACAAACCATTTGGTGTCCAAATGATGCAGTGTGAAGAACTGTTTAGAATTAATCCTTACGAATACCACATCCTTTGCAGCAACCATATGCAATTTTTAAATTAACAAGTATGTCCAGCACATCAACATCTGGACCATTCGCATCTTAACTTATTAAGTAGTCACTCAGCTGCTGTGGGATTGGTAACAGGCCAACTAAGCTGGTCTGAGAGGCTGGTAAGTTTTCTTGGGAGAGATGACGTTTAAGTTGGAATCTGGGTTGCGCCAAGGTGAGCAGCACTGGAGTGGCACTTGCAGACACCGAGGCAGGAAAGGTCAGTGAGCATCTCACTTTCCTTTAGAAGGTGACCTGGGCTTGAAGGTGACCTGCCTGTGGACGGAAGAGCAGGCCAAGGACTTGTGGTCTTTCCACGCCACCCGACAGAAGCCACGTGCTTCAGAGAGGCAGGGAAGTGGTGAAGAGTTTGGAGCCAGGCGGGCTGTGTTCAGATCCTGGCCCTGCTCCTTTCAGCTCTGTGCCCTTGGGCAGTTACTGAGCCTCCCTGTGTCTCAGTGTCTTCAACCACAGACTTGGGATAATTTGAGTTAAGGCTAATGCTGGCCTCTCTCAAGACAACCACTGGCCCCTGCTACTATCAAACCAGAGGACCATCCATAACAGAAGCATCTGTTGCGCCCCAACCCGACAACACAGCCCAGTCAATACTGGAGCCCGGAGTGCGAGTGGCCAGAGAACCAAGCTATCAGCGAGTTATGCTAGTGGCATCCAGTCGCCTCGAGCAGATGACTGTACGCCCTAGGGCGTACGAGGAAGAAGGAATCAGCAGCACTAAAATAGGAGCTTATGAATCCAGAGGAAAGCAAAGGCATGCATAGATCCAGACACAAAGGGCAACTTTTTTTCTTTTTTTTTTTAAATGTAGGCTACTTTAATCCTAAGCAAGCACAGCTCCCCAGAGGTTAAGCCCTGGCTGCATGTCTAAGTTTCAAGGAAGAGTACTGTGTCCAAAACCTCACAGTAACCCAGATGGGCCAACTACGTCTCCGATCCTTCTCACCTTTTCACTGATGACAGTCACGGTAGCATCAGCCACGTTCATGTTCACCGATGGCCAGTCCTCCTTGTTGGATGAGGTCATTAGACTTTCTATGGCATTGTTCAGGGTATCCATTCCTGATTGGATTGAAGAAATAACTGAAAAGGTCCTAAAGCTATTTATCACTCTCCAAAGGGGGCCCAATCACCCAGTAATAGCTATATCCAGGCTGGTCCTTTTTTTTTTTTTAATAGCCCTAGAGGACACTTCATTTCTCACGTTTGCTTAAAAAAAAATAAAACGTCAGTGTTTTCAGCAGAAAGATCATGAGAACTTTGAGATGCACTGTGTGTGATGGCCTAACGGGGCCTTGTGCTCCTTTCTCTCTCTCTCTCTCTCTCTCAGGTTCCCCAGCCCTGAGTGTGTGAATGGCACTCAAGCCAACCGCGTCCGTGTGCTCCTAAGCACGGAGCCTTGGGATAGCAGGCCCGACAGGAGCCGGCATCCTCCAGAGTAACCCAATCCCTCGCCCCTTTAGTTTCTTACTCAAACGAGGCCAGGCATGGGCGGCACCTGACACAAGCTGTATGAGCTATTCAACGGGGCACTTTCCCTGGGTGTTCCCACAGCTGGTTTTTGGGGGAATGGGGTAACAACTTCACTGAGATATAATCCACATAACATGCAGTTCACTCATTTAAAGTGTATAATTCAATGGTTTTTCGTGTATTCACCAAGGTGTACAACCATCACCACAATTGACTTTAGAACATTTTCATCAGCCCAAAAAGAAACCCTGTACATTTTAAGCATCACCCCCATTCCTCCCAGCCCCGCAGCCCTGGGCAATAGCTTAAGTTCTCTCTCTAGACATCTGCCTCTTCTGGACCTTTCACACAAGTGGAATCATAGAGTATGTGGTCCTTTGTGACTGGCTTCTTTCATTTAGCATGACATTGTTGAGGTTCATCCATGTTGCAGCGGGTGCCAGTACTTCACTCCTTTTTCTTGCCAAATAACATTCTGTTGCGTGACAGCATCACATTTTGTTTATCCATTTGCCAGTTGATGGACATCTGGGTTATTTCTACTTTTTGACTATTAATAATGCTGCTGTGAACATTCATGCATGCATTTTTGAGTGGATGAATGTTCCCATTTCACTGGGGTATACGCTTAGAAGCATAACTTCCGGGTCAAATGCTAACTCTACATCGAACCTTTCGAGGAACTGCCAGGCTGTTTCCCAAAGCAGCTGCGTCACTGCACATTCCCCCCAGGAACGCTGAGGGTTCTCAGTGACCCGCAGCCTTGTCTGCCCAGGGAAAGGCTATGTTTCCTGGCTTCCTCGCAGCTGGCTACAGCCCAGTTCAGCAAGTCCGGCCCCTGGGGTGTGAGCTCACTGCCGTGTAGCTGCTTCTGGGTCACAGCTTGAAAGGAGAGCAGGAGGGCTCCCTCAGCCCTGCCCCCCCTGCCCCCGGCAACCAGCTGACAGGGACTGCGGCAGGTACGCTGGCCCCAGGGGGGAGCCCCGTCTGAGAACGAAGAGGCCTTGGATCATGGTTCTCTGGGATGCTGGGCGAACGAGAAATAAGTGCCCGCTTTATTCAAGTCCCTATATTCTAGGGATCAAATGCCAGAGCAGCTTAGCCTGTCCTCGTTGCTCTTCTGATCAGGACTGAGGGCTCTGGCTGGTGACAGTGTAAGTAGAGAGGGGGTAACACACTAGACCCACCCTTCTGGGAAGGCCACCACCTTCTATGAGCTCCCAAACACCCGCAAAGTGGAAAGACATGTGTTTCACGTACCGACTGGTTTGTCTACAGGTAACATGCCCAGGTACTGCACATGGAACTTCTGCACCAGCTCAGTCTTTGGTGTTGGAAAATCTACTACAGGGAATAAAAGCAACACATCGTTCTCTGTGGTTCCAACACATGCATGAAAAGCAGCCCTGACTCCGTGTCATCGGGACGCACTCCCAGTGCCACGCTGTCCTCTTTCTAGAGGTCTGTGAGGCACTTGTTCTGTTAGTCAAAATCCCATTCAACTTTCATTTGTAGGGAGAAACACATTAGAAAGAAGGAAGTGGAATCTAAAGCTGCTATTGTCTCTTTGATACGCCTTAAGTAACAGCTTTCTGCTTCCTATGCATTAGGTGTGGTCCTCACCTCAGGCTGCAATGAGTTAGAAAACCACTAAGCATAGTATTCTTCAGTCTTGACCAACAACAAACCACATCTTGGCCCTTTATGCCTAATTCCTTTGACACAAAACAATTCCGCGGGATGGAAGGGCAGGCTTGCACACTCAGCACGTGCTGGTTGTGCGGAGTGCGGTTTCGCAGAGGCGAGAAGCTCCAGGGAACGATCTGAGACCCTCTGGTTCTCAGCTAGGATGGAGAGCGTCACTGTGAAGACAGCAGATGCGGCCGACCTACCTTGCAAGGGAACGTCAAGGTTCACGTTGGTCCTTTCCTGTAAGGAGCTGCAGGCCAGGGCTTTGGCATTCTTCCGTTCGGCCATAATCTGAAGAAGAGAAAACACAGCCTGGGTTTGTGGTCACAGACACCTTGTCTCCAGCAGTTTGAGCCAGTCGAGTGCCTGCGCTGATTTCACTTCCCAGTTAAACGAGCTTTAGCCTGACTTCCCAACCGCAGATCACTGAGCTGCGTATTTTGAGAACTGTGCTCATTTTCTCTAGAGGTAAGAGGTGAAAAACCATCCCTCACAGAAACAGTCTTCTCATCACTTGAAATTTATTCTTCCATTCACCAGGCTTCCATCTTTACTGAAACAGCCCAAATATCCCCAGTCATGTGTGCACCTGCTGGCCCACTGTGGTCAACAGAAGGAAGCAATGAATGTCCCCCATTGCTTCTAGGTCATAGCTTTTCGGTACTGTTTTCAGCACTCTGGGGACACAGAACATTGGTCCCCCTGCATCCACAGAAGATCCATGCCTAGACCCTCAGTGGAAGCCTGAAGCCACAAATAGTACTAAACCCTGTATATACCACAGTTTTTCCTATACACACATACCTATGATAAAGTTTAATTTAGAAATCACAGTACAAGATTAACAACAACATTAAAATAGAACTATAATACTACTGTAATAAACTCTAATACAACTATAAATACTGTAATAAAAGTATGTGAATGGCTTTGGGGCCATTATTAAATAAAATAAGGGTCCCCTGAACACAAACACTGTGATACCGAGACAGCTGATCTGAGGAGCATGATCTACTGAAGGACTAACGGGTGGGCAGCAGATACAGCGAGGAGATGCTGGGCAAAGTCTTGGGTGGGACAGAGCAGGATGGAGGGCATGACATTTCATTACGCTACTCAGCACGTAGTGATTTAAAACTTACCAATTGTTTGCTTATGGAATTTTCCATTTAATCTTTTAAGATTGAGGATGACTGTGGGCAACTGAAGCTGCAGAAAGTACCACCGTACGTGGGGTTAAATCCCACCTCTGACACTTACTGGCTGTGTGACCCTGAGCAAGCCACCAGGCCGCTTGTGTCTCATTTCCTCCACTGTCCATGGGGATGTTATTCACATCCGTACGAATAGTTATGTCCGTTCTGAGGATTAAATGTGAGCACTCAGAAATACGAGCTGCTATCATTGCTGTTGTTCTCAAACTGTCTAATCTGTCAGCTGTTCCCCCAAATCATCTCCTCTCCATTTAGGAGAGTCACCACTTTTACTCCTGTTTACAGGGCTGTGGGTTTAGGGAATGAAGGAAGTCTGCCCTTCAACGATGCCAAAAGCAACTCACATCTTCACTCCCAACCCAAGCTTCCCACTCCAAGTGGAATAAAACACATCTCCTCCCAGGACTCCCTCTGCCCTTCTCCAAATCTGTGTCAGGAACAGCAGGCAAGGGCTGCTGACAGCACTAAAACGGAGTGTTTACTGAGCATTTACTCTGTGCCAGGCTGGGCCCTGAGGGCTATACACTAGAACACAAGCCCTTATGAGGACAAGGTTTTTCCTTTTTTTTTTTTTTTTTGCCTTGGCTGGTGTGGCTCAATGGATTGAGCACCCACCTGTGAACCAAGGGGTCACTGGTTCGATTCCCAGTCAGGGCACATGCCTGGGTTGCAAGCCAGGTCCTCAGTGTGGGGCATGTGAGAGGCAGCCACACACGGGTGTTTCCCCCTCTTTCTCCCTCCCTTCCCTTCTGTCCAAAAATATTTTTTGTTTCCTGTTTTGGTCTTTGCTATGTCCTCCGAACAGTGCCTGACACATAAATGGGGCTCAATTATATCTGTTGCATGCATGAATGAAAAAAACGACTCATGGGGAGTGTGCTGCAAGGCTGCAGCCACGCCCCCGTCCTGTCAATGCAAGCGTGCGACTGCGGGCTGGGACCAACGTGGTGCTCTCTACACCAGCACTCACCCTGCATGTCCCTGTCGCGTGGGTCAGAGCAGTAGGCCAGGAGGCTCTCTCTTTTGGGGCCGGGGACAGCTTCTGGGCCGACCCCTCTTGCAGGAACTGGCTGGCACCTGCTTCATTCCTGCCGTTCAGACACCAGCCCGGGCCATGGTGGCGGCTGTGGCCACAGCCTGGACTGTGTTAGCTCAGGAGAAATCCTGAGAAGGAGGCTGGGTCGTGATTTCGGCACAAAACCAGAAAGCTGATATTTGAGAGATGGCGGCCAACTCCTGGCTGAAGGAAGTTGGTGGCGGTGTCCTGGGGGTTTGGCCAACTATTTGAATGCAAGCCAGTGGGTGATGTGGCTGTGAAGGGCATCAGTCACCCCCATATTGTATCCCTGGAGGTCAAAGGACAGGGTGGGCCCACGGTCTTTCCTCTTCTGTGTCACTTTGGGAATGTTCCTTTGGGGGAACCCACCCGAATATGCTCAGAAAAGGATGGTTAGGAGCCTGGTAACCATGTGACCTGAAAGTGGCTAAGGAGGGAGGGGAAGGGATTCTGGAGAAGGAAGGAAGCCAGGAGCAGAACGACTCAACGAGACACTCGCCCAGCACCTCTAAACACACCAGGCATGAGTCACGGAACAAAGGGCTGCCCAGCAGAGAGACAAGCTGGGGGAGTCCTTCCTTGTTGCTACAAGTCACAGATCTCAAGTGAACATACGGAGGTTGCAGAGAGGAAGATTTCAGTCAACACAAGAAAGAACTCTTGTTACAAAACCACTCGGTAGCAGAACAGTCTCTTGGAAGTACAAGAGGTTGTCAGCGCAGGTCAGGTCGCGCCAGTGGGAGAGCTGGGCAGGGGGCGGGGCTTGTGTTAGACCCCTGCTGTGCTGGCTGGGGGAGGGGGAGGGGTTGCACTGGTGATGCTCGGCCATCTGTTCTCATTCTGAGACTGCGACTTTGGTTAAGAAAGGACTTTGGTTAAGAAAGGGGACGTGTACAGGTGTGAGATGGTGGCCACAGCCCTGCCTCAAGCTGGTCAGAGTTTCGATGAGCTGCTTGGTGTCCTTAAGAAGCCCGTGTGTGTTCATGGGAGCCCCCAGCTGCCTGCATCTCCATAGACACCCCAGGGGGCTTCTCACCTCCCTCCCTTCTGTGTTCCCTCTCAGATCAGGTGGCCCTGGTGCTGGGCTTGATACACACATCTCCGCCACTGCATTTGCCACTGTGCTGTCCGCCTGTTACACGCCCAGCCTGGGCGGGACCAAAGCTCTCCTCATTTTGTACATGGAGTGCCACTGAGAGCAATGCCTGGCGGGCCGCCGGCGGAGCAAGCCGGCCGCCAGCTTCTCAGGAGCCCAGATGCAGGTCAGCACACACAAGCCCCAAGCTGGGAAAGGGACCCGTTCACGTCCCTTTCCCAGCTCGGCAGTGAGAAAAAAGGAGGGAGGAACCACTGTGCCCTGGCCCACCTTACCTTGGAACAGATTTCGTGGAGACTTGTGGCGATGGCTTTTGCTGGTGTGTCACATCGAAATACATGACATTTCAAAATTCTTGTATCTTTGTCTCTTGCTACATAAGCAAAATCTCTGTGCAAACAAAATTTATCAGTACATTACAAAAAAGAAACTTTAACAACATATTCTGGTGATGAACGTTAACTGAGCTAGTAGCCAGTATGTCAGTGGTAAACTGACATATGCAATGGTTAAAAAAAACTTCTACAGCTACCCAAAACAGAGTTTTATGGCTATCAGGAATTCATTTCTGAGTGAAACAGCTGTGGGCATGTGTCTGTTATGTGCTGTTGAGTCGACTCTGACACTGGGTGACCCTGTGACTGAGTGGTGTCCCTGGGGTCCTCTCCTCAGCAGCCCTGCTCTGCTCCTGTAAACTCATGACAATGCTTCTTTCATGGAATCAACCCATCCATCTACATTTGGATCCCTCTTTTCCTGCTGCCTTCTGTTTTCCCAGCATTATTCTCTTTTCCAAGGAACCCTGCCTCCTCACGATGCGCCTAGAAAAGGACAACTTTGGCTGTGTCATTTTTGCCTCCAGCGATGTTTCAGGCATATTGCGGGGATGTTGTGGGATCAGCTCCAGACCACCACAACGCGGTGAGTAGCAAGAAATTTTTGGCTTCACAGTGTATATAAAAGTTACATTTACACTACACTGTAGTCTATTAAGTGTACAATAGCATTGTGTCTAGAAAAATAATGTACATACCCTAATTAAAAATGCTTTATCACTGGAAAATGCTAACTATCATCAAAGCCTACTGGAGAAACATGCCAATAGAGCTGCCTGACATGAGGTTGCCAAAAACCTTCAATTTGTAACAAATGTAGTATCTGCAAAGTCATAACAAAGAAGTGTAATAAAACAAGGCTGCCAAACCTGGTCTGTGATCACCTTAGAACCTCTAACAACCCTGAATGAAAACCAAACCTTACAGAAAACTTCTATCTAGAGAAACAAATATTACAATTATAAAACAAAATACGCTTGAGAACACAAACTTGCGCGAGTGATACTGTAACGAACACAATGGGGGTAGCAAAGTAAACAACAGGCTCTGATGTGTAAACAAGTGCGCACAGAACCGTCAACCACAGCTGCCGGAGAAAGCCGACGGGCAGTCACAGGGTGGGCTGGGACAGGGACGCCCCAGACTGACATCCTGCCGCAGGTGCTGGGTTCTGATCAGCACTGCTCAGACCGCAGGGCTCGGGGTGACGACAGCTTAGCTCAGACACCGCCGGGAGCAGGTGGCTGGGGCTGGCTTTAGTGTCTACTTTCTGATGAGAAGGATAATTACTGCCACATGATCTGGCTTCGAGAGAACCGTGCCACATAACTCAATTTCTCACTGTTATTCCTGGAGGAGAGTAGTTTCAAGAGCCAAGTGTTTATGAAAAATAAATGCCCAGATGTACCTGTCTGGTTAATGGATCACAATAATTTCTTTGCATTTGTTGCTAGGGCAGGATGTCTGTTGACATAACCATGGACGAATTTATTTTTAGTTATTTCTCTTAATGTAAGAACTGGCGGTCTTTTCAGACTATGGCCGATACTTCCCCCAAGTACCCTGGCTTCCGGGAGCAGCACTGGGAGCAAAGCGCGGAGGCACCCGGCCGGCAGCACGGCCGGCGGGGGAGGCCCGCCCCCATCGCCTCGCCCTGCTCGGGCGGTCCCTCGGGGGACCCCCGGAGCCAGGCTGCAGGTCAGGGCCGCCTCTACCTGGCCGCCCCGCGGGCGCTCGAACCCCGGACTGGCCGCATCGGACCTCCCAACTGTCCCCTCCTTCCTCATGTTCTAGCTCCGAGGGTGCCCTCCATGCAGGAGCCAGGGGGTCTCCCAGACTCCCCCCACCCCAGCCCCCCACGGTCAGCCTATTTTACCTTCTGAAAACGTCCCAGGCCACCCCTTTCCTCGCCAGCCCCACCGCCACGTGGGCATCTCCCTGCCTTTGCCGGCTCTGGGCCCTCGTCGCGGCACAGGGGTCAGCGGAAGCGGGGCGGACACCCTGCCCGCTGCTGCCGCGGCCCCGCATACCATGCGCCCGTCCCACAGCGTCTGTTCATGAGTGTGTCCTCCCACAGCTCCTCGCAGCTCCGTGAGGACGATTTGTGCCTTCTTCATCCCCAACAGCCAGTCCAGTTCCAGCCCTGACAGGTCCCCAGGGCTCCTTCCTTCAGTAAACACAGGCTGTGGCACGCGCCTGCCTGGCTGTCGGGCAGCGGCCCCCGACCGCGCGGGGTGAGCAGCCGTCTCGCCTGCTGCGGTCCTGAGGCCCTTCCATCCTAGTCTCAGCCGTCATCAAGGCAGCACATCATTTCATTAAACAACGGATGAGAGGAGGCATCTCTTCTGGAGCCCACGCTTCAGGGACACCCTGCTCAGCCTCTCCACCCACCTATTCTTCCCTAGATGAGCTTGAAGTCACACACACGAGGTCTCAGCACACACAACTCCTCTCCTTCAAAATTCCATATTCAGCCCCGTTTTTTCTAAGGCCAAATCTCTTCAGAGCTCTATGGTCACCCACAGAAAGTCCTAAAATCTTTGGATTTCAGGAGTTCCAAAATTTGTCCCCCCAACCCTTCCAGCATTTCTCCAGCCGAGGAGCTCTCCCCTGCTCCCAAGAGTGGCCCCAGTCCACTCGGTGAACCTGCCTGGCTTGCTGGCCTCTGGCCCCGCTGCCCTACTCCCTCTACTTTGTCCGCTCCAGCCCAGAAGCCTTCCTGGCGTGCTGGCCCTCCGGACTTTGCCTGTGTCTAAACGCTTATTCAGGCCACCCAGATTCTAGTCCTGCCGCTAACGGCACAGAGGGATACAACCTTGGGCACGGAGTCTAAGCTCTTCTCTGAGTAAGGGATATGCCAAGTCACAAAGCACATAGTTTCCAAGGGCCCTTTTGGGCTCCGGTATGGTATGATGCCAGCGCCCAGATCTGCCACGGTCTCTGCGACTGCTGGCTGACCTACAGGAGCCGCGATTCCAAGGTTGCCACCAGGGGAATGAAACAGGGCCTGACCAGCAGCAGGCAATGAATCATTCCTATCAAATTCAGCTCGATGCCCTCTGTTCTTCCCTATGCAATCCCTTAGGAGTCATTTTTTAAAAAATTGTTATTAATCTTCATTTTCTCCTGGCTCAGGAGAAACGGGGTAACACCTTAGGCAACCACCTGGAGCCCGTACCTTCCCGAAAGAAAGCTCGGTGGCCACGGGCTCTGTTTGGGGGGCTTGGGCACCTTTGCCCACAGCCCTGCTGCTGCCTGCTCCCTCCCAAGCACCAGGCTAATGATCAGGGAGGCAGAAACCGGTTGGTCCCAAAAGCGGGTGAGTCCCGGTCCAGTAGCTAACCCTCCGGGGGTTTCAGCTGCTTCTCACGAAGAAATAAGTTTTCTCTTCCCCTCACTGAGGAGGTAGATTTGCATACCTCCTGTATTGAATCCCCATGAAACATATCGCCAGTTATTCTGAACTAGCTGAAAGCTCCAAACACAGGGGTTTGTAAGAGGCAGCGCAGCCTTCCCATCAGACCTGGAGCAGAGACCGGTTGAACAGCTTCTTTCCTGTGCAATGACGTCTACGGCCGATCTCGTCTCACTCTTACTCAGAATGAAATCCAAACATCTCCTAACTGGTTGTAAAAGCCTGGCTTCTCAGCACCTCACTACTCAAAATGGCCACTGTGGAGGACAGAATGCTGACCCTCCCAAGACGGTCATGTCCCAAGTTCGAGAACCTGTGCATATATTACTTACATGGCGAAAGAGGCCCTGCGGATGCGTTTCAATGAAGGACCCTGAGATGGGGCTGTTCTGGATTACCTGGGTGGGCCCCACACGATCCCGAGGGGAAGAGGGAAGCACCTTGCCTGCGAGTGCAGAACAGGAGCAGGGGCCCCGGCCAAGAGAGGCAGCCGCCCGTACGAGCAGGAAGCGGCAAGGACACATCATCTCCTGGAGCCTCTGGAAAGGCCACAGCCCTGCCGGCACCACGATTTCAGCCTGCAAGGCCTGTTTTAGACTTCTGACCTCCCAGACCTGTGAGAATACACTTGTGTTGCTTTAAGCCATCAAGTTTGTGATAATTGGTTACAGCAGCCTGAAGGAATGAAAACAGCTGCCGGTTGGCTTTATATTCTAGTGAAATAGGTTATAGTATTAAAGACTTACATTAAAAAAAAAAATACTCATTTCACTTCCACAAATACCTTCTGAGCCACTCGTAGGTCCAGGCACCAGAGATGCAAACACAGACAAGGTTCCAGCCTAGGAAGCCCCCCTCTCCTGTCTTACGATATAGACACTCCATGAGATGTGAGCTGCATCTCAATTTAAGTGTAAGGACCTCACTGGGCTAAGAAGGGCACTGGATGGTTCAAAGAAGCTTCAAATAAGTGTGAGCGAAGGCACAGAGGTAAGAAAGCCCAAAGAGTGTTTGGAAGAACTCCCAGTCGCCTGGGGATTCCTGGGGTGCCGTGACCACCGTGCGGCTGCCAGGAGGTTGCGCCCTAGTCCGGGATCGATCTGCAGAGTGCCCTGTGCCCTGCCAGGCACCTGGCCCTTACTCTGAACCATGCCAGCCTTGTAATAGGACACGTGACCCCACCTGACATATTTTAAAAAGTTCCTTCTGGTGGAACGAAGTTGGTCAAGAAAGGAGACACTGGGCGGTGGGGGGCGGGGCGGGGCGGGGGGGGGGGAGGCATGGCGCAGGGGGGCAGGCAGGGGAGGGCGGTGGCTACTGCAATGGTCCAGGTGAGAGAGGACGAATGAGGTTCAGGGTAAGTCAGAGTCGTGAGAACAGGGCAGAGGAGACACGGGAAATAGGTATTGAAAGGACAGCTGGCGGACAGATGGTACAGAAGTGGGAGAGAAGCAAGACTCTCGGGGTCCCTCCTAAGACAAGTGAGCACCCTCATACTGGGACGGGGAGGGGCGAAGGCGAAGGCTTTGGTGAAGGAAGCTGAGGAGCTCCAAGTTGGACAGTAAGTGTGAGGTGCTGAGGGACATCAGGTGGCCAGGCCCACCAAGCAGCTGGACACTCGGTTCCTGAGCTCAGGCTTG